GGACAACTCCGCATTTACCTTCTTCATCTCAAAATCCCCTCAAATCCTCTGGTAAGTAGGAAATAACGAACGCATAAATGCTCGTTGTAGCTCCCACTGTGGCTGGCAGGATGCCTAGCCTATGGGCATTCCTTGAAAACAAATTTTTGCATGCACAAATGAAGACAGAGATGGATTTAGCCAATAACTACATTGACAAAGTTGTGCTAAGATTTCCTGTGAGGCAGGCCCCGTACAGGGGATACAAAGAAATGTAAGAGCGAGCAGCTGTCCTCCAGGGCTCTGCGGCCTGTTGGAGTCAGGAGCAGGGACCTTTGCCCCTCACAGAATGTCCACGCACTTCTACACATTTTCCCGCGTCCTCACAGTCAGGCCGCTCCCAGCCAGTGTGCCGGTGAGCGGAAGGGAGGGACGGCGCTCCCGCACTGGAGCGCCTCACAGCCAACATGGTGTCCGAGGGGCCTCTGTCGGTGGGGTCCTCACATGGCTGTGTGAGCCCGAGCCCCCTGCCCTGCCACCGAGGACATGGAGCGTGAGCGAGGACAGATAAACAACTTTGCGTTATGCACCTGAGATTTTAACATTAATTTTTTACCCTGGCAGAGCCTAGGTAAACACACAGACAAGTCCAGCGATGAGAGAAGACAGTGAGAGGAGCAGATAATGTGCCCCAAGCTTACTCGCACCTGCTGGTTTGTGGGCCACCAGTCTATGGTGTGGTGTCCCCTCTTCCTAGAGCCCTCCCTCCGGGTCTCTGTGTGCTGATGCCTTCCTGTCGCCCCAGGCTCAGCCACCATGCTACCACCTCGACAGGCCTTTCCTGACCACCTGACCAGAGTGCACAACCCCACACCATGGTCCCATGACCATTTTGCTTTCTCACCCTCTGGGAGATGTTCCCACTCACTGTCTATCTTGCCTTTATTATGGCGTAAGCACAGTGAGAGCAGGGACCATGTCTTCCTTGTCGACAGCTGTGTTCCCAGAATCGTGCCTGGCACAAAGTAGGCACTCCACATCCGGGGGATGAACGAATGAACGCATGATCTGCTTGCGAGGAGTTCAGAAGTGGGTGGGAGGAAACTCCCTGAGGGCTGAGTGTCCAGAAAAGGACGGGGGAGGCAGGCCTCTCGAGGTCCTTTAAAAGGAGGGTCACCAAGGGCTATTAGAGTGCTTCCAGCAGCCTAAGCACAGCACAGAGGTGGGAACGCACAGGGTGATCGGGGGTGACCGTGAGTGGTGTGGGTCGCCAGGGTGGAGGAGGACACTGGGAAGAAGGTGGCTGAGAGCCTCAAATGCTAGTTTATATTTGACCCAAGACCAGAAGGAAACTCTCTGTGGGGGCCGATGGGAGTGGTGCTCCCCTCCCCCAGCCCAGGGAGAAGGTTTGAGAAAGACTGACTGGGTGGGATTTCCAAGCTAGAGGCCCAGAGAAAGGGGCTAAAGACAAGGGCACAGTCCTTAGGCTATGACAACAGCCCACACAGAGGTGACGACCTGTGGACAGGGAGGAGGAAAATGATGAAGGAAGGATCAATAAAATTCATTCCAGAAAAGCTCCCTGGTTTGCCCACTGCCACACAATGGGGGATGGGAGGGAGGAGCCAGGCCCAGAGCTCAAAGGTTCCTTCCACCAGGCTCCCGAATTCAGTGGCCCTGCCATTATACAAAAGCACCTCTCTGAGCCCTCTGGGAACACCCAGTGTAGGGCAGACAAGGGCAGCCATCTGGGGAGGAGGCCCACGTGGGTTCCCGCACGGGGACCCAATACATCACTTCAATCCAGACAGTAAGAAACTCACATCAGCATCACACAAAAAGTATCTGCATTTCAGAGGGAGAATCTGAGTGTGAACCTTAGTAAAATGAGGATATAATACTTCCCTTGCTGACCACACAGTTTTTGTGAGGATGAATTGGAATAATGGAATTCTTTTAAGTCTAAAGCTGCTTTATGAGTATCACTATCACAAAGAACAAATTGTAGTTGCTAGAATTTCATCTCCTTTCCAGGGCACAGACTGGTTTCACAGCCAGGAGGAGCCTGAACTTTTTGGGTGAGTTAGGGAGTGCTATTAGAAACAGTGGATGTAGCTTCACGTTGTGGAAAGTGTTTTCCGGCCCGATGCAAAGAGAATTTGCCCAGCCTTGTACACAGGAGGTAAATACTTGTTCATGAGGTTTGGACTGTGGGCCACACTAGCTTCTAGGCCTCCCACTCTCTAGAGCTGTGGAAAACAAGTGACATAAAGTAATGCAGATGAGCGGCAGGGAGATGTTTCTGTACCATCACTGGTTTCCTGCTCCTCTCTTTCTTCCTTCCTGCCCACACACTCAATAATCTCCTTTGCAATAGGCCTTCCTGCCTTTCTCTTCTCGGGGGCATCCTATGTCCCTGCCAGGACAGTTTTGCAAACATACAGCTCCAATCGCGTCACCCTCTTCAAAACCTCCCCAGGGGTGTGAGGTCAGAGCACTTGCGGGGGATGGGCAACGTTTCCTTCCACTCCTGATGTCTCCCCGATGTGAAGGGAAAGGGCTTAGTCATCAGGCCCCACCTTGTCTCCCCTACCTCACTCATTTCCCTTCTTGGGGGACAGAAGCTGATCTCATTGGTTCGTCTGGAAGATGACACTGGCATTCCTCATCTACCCTCTTCCTCTACCCTTCCTCGGGGAAGCCAAGAGTTGCAGGAAGCAGGTGTTCTTCTGGGCCTCCCCACCCCATGTCCTAACAGTTCCCAGGCTTCCCTGTCCTCCGCTGCTGGCAAGGGAGTCTGTCTGTCATCTGGTATTGGGAAGCCTATCTGCCTCTCCTGTTAAGCTGCTTCCTCCCATGTAGGCTTTCTTACCTTTAAAAGTAAAATATTGGCTTTTGCCTACGTCTGCCTTTGCCTTACTTCTCAGCCAGTTCAGTGATCAGGCCAGAAAGATGGGTACTTTTTATTGGATGACCCTTTGAGCTCCAGCAAACACTTTCTCCTTGTCTATGAAAATAAGCAGAGTTCTCAGCCTGGCATCCAAGGTCTTCCACTGAAAAATCAGCTCTCAGTTAATGCTCTGGATCCAGCTTCCCCCTCCACTGTGCCCTGGACATGCCACGGACCCAAAAGTAACTGCCACACTGGGCTTCTCTCGCATCCTGGACACGCTCTGTGTGTTCCTTCTTCCATAGGTGGAGCTCTCAGCTCCTCCCTGGCACCAAAATTCTACCTGTTGTCATAGTCCAAGCCCAGCCCACGTGTAGTCCAAGCCCAGCCCCCATGTAGTCCAAGCCCAGCCCCCGTGTAGTGCAAGCCCGGCCCCCGTGTGGTCCAAGCCCGGCCCCCGTGTGGTCCAAGCCCGGCCCCCGTGTAGTGCAAGCCCGGCCCCCGTGTAGTCCAAGCCCGGCCCCCGTGTAGTGCAAGCCCGGCCCCCGTGTAGTGCAAGCCCGGCCCCCGTGTGGTCCAAGCCCGGCCCCCGTGTGGTCCAAGCCCGGCCCCCGTGTAGTGCAAGCCCGGCCCCCGTGTAGTCCAAGCCCGGCCCCCGTGTAGTGCAAGCCCGGCCCCCGTGTGGTCCAAGCCCGGCCCCCGTGTGGTCCAAGCCCGGCCCCCCTGTGGTCTAAGCCCGGCCCCCGTGTAGTGCAAGCCCGGCCCCCGTGTAGTGCAAGCCCGGCCCCCGTGTGGTCCAAGCCCGGCCCCCGTGTGGTCCTCCACGGGCCTTTCCTGCCCCTGAGGGGTCTGATCTCTCCCTCTCATTCTGCTCCCTCTGCCAGGAACCTCTTGTCCTCCCGCTCGCTCCCTCCTCCCTCTGCAACTGCCTATGTGAATATCACTTATCTGTGAGCAATCCTTGTCTCAGGAGCCTCCCCTGAGCTGCGGGGAGTGCTGGAGGCTCCCCTTAAGTGCTTCCATAGAATCCCACGTACCACTAAACACACTGAAGCAACATCCTCTGCTGACTTTTCTCAAGAAACTTATGAAGGGACACAGATAACATTTATAAACGTGCACACACCTAAAGGGAGCAGAGCCTCCACTCTAGATGGCATCTTGCCATCTAAAAAAATAGACGAGAAACCAAAAATCAAGACCCACTGTGAGTAGAGCCCAGGCCAGGGAAATGCACTGAAAGAATCCCTTTGACTGGAATTAGTGAAACGTTTCTGGAATTTTCTGGTCCTCTAGGGAAGGCTCTCTTGAAGATGGGGTTATCCTATCAAGTGTCTAGCTTCTAACTGGTCAGTGAATGAAAGACATCGTATCATTAATTCAACTTTCCCGAGGTTAGTGAGAGGCTGACAGTCCTAGTGCCCAGATTCAACCAGGGAAAGAGGTGCACGCATCCAGGCCACCCAGGGTAAGTACCACAGGGAAAGGGTCTCAGCTCTCAGCCCTCCCCCACCTAATAAGCACAAACGCCAAAAAGTGGTGCTCCGGCAACAGGAGGTTGCCGCTCAAATGACACGTCTGAATACTGAGGCCACCACATTGTTCTCACTGGCTTGAAGCTTGGGAAGTCTGATATGCCTCTTTGAAGTCTGCTCAGTGCGTGGGGAATGTGTGGATTTTCTGGGGGCTCGGCAATATGGGGATAGAAAAGACCCTCCCAGGGCTCAAGTATCAAGAGCTTTCTCGACTCTGTAAACATTCCTGGGAAAGTGAGGAGGGCTAAAACTCCACGATTTGTAACAGGAAGTGTTGAACCTGTCTTGCCTCCAGGTTAGGCTAAAAGGAAAAGACCCCAGGGATGAGTCTTAGGGGACAGTGAGGGAGTTAATCAACTTGGGCTGGAAGACAACTGATAGAGAATGTTCTGGGGAGGATTTCTGCCTGAGGGGAGGCCCTTAGCAGGCCCTGCGAGTACAGAACCACCGTACTTCCTCATTTCTCCAATTAAAATGCACTGTATAAGGCATTTTGTCCCATTTTCGGTCACCACCACCACCAAAAACCTTGTGCACGTTGAACTGACCATGTTCAAGGGGGCCTAGGGAAGGCATGGGATTTGGTGACACAGTACCGATTTTGGTGAGCCACGTGGCCACAGCGCCATAGATCTCGTCCAGGATGAGGATGACCACGAGGTTGATGATGACCGCCGTTGCTGTCACTGTCACCCGGACATTGGAGCGTGTGGACTTGTTGAGAGACAGGGCCGCAGCGGTCGTGATGCGATACACAATGACTCCAAAGACAATGGAGAACGTCAGGGCAATCTGTTTGGGAAACAGGGAGAGTCAGAGCTCAGCAGACAAGTACTGAGCAGCTATTACTTGCTCAGCCAACTGTCCTAGTCACTACATCAGGAACTATGGATCTGGAGTCCCCTCGTGCACACCCTCTGAACTTGCATGCCAATCCTGAGGACAGGTGCGCTGTCCATGAGAGAGCGTCTTCCATTTTTATCAGAAGCCAAATGGTCGAGAACACACACAAAACCTTAAGAATGAAAATGCAGGACATTGAGGTGTGCACAGCACACGTGACATGATTTCCTTCACTAGGGGACCGAACTCTTATTAAGCCATGGGGAGTAATAACGGAGAAGGTATTGCGTGCTCAGTGAAGGGACTGAGTACAGATGAGCAAGCAGATTAGGTGGAATAATGGGATAAACTGGGCTCTCAGTGAAGGGAAACAGGGAGCCACCGAAGGCGTCTGACTGAGAAGCAGTGAGTTAGAGCTTTAGGCGCTGGGTGCGGGAAGGCTGCCCAAAGGAGAGAAACCAGGAGTGAGATTTGTAGACTCTCGATCCTCAGGGTGAACAAAATATCACTCTAAGATTTCTCTACCAGAAACTATAATGGAGGACTCAGATTTCTCATTTGGTGCTGAAATTTCTGGCTGTTTCATTGAAAGGAACGTTTACCAGTCACTGGACCTCTAAGGGTCCCCCACTTCCTCCTTCTAGAACCTAAAAATAATAAATCACTCTCCCAGACCAGCCCCTCTCGTCCCCCATCACAGCCCAGGAAGGCCTGTTTCCGTGAAGCACGAGGATGTTAGGGGAAGAAAGTGCTCTGAGTAAGCTCTCAGAGAGGGCAGAGGGAGGAGACAGAACTTCTGGGTGTATAACCGGCTCAGAGCAAAATTCTAATTTGTTTCAGCCAAGCAAAGTCTTCTTTCTTAGAATTCTTTCCACAGAGGAAGCTGTTCAGGTAGTATTCCCCCTGGGTCAGGGGATGGGGGGCTGGCACTGGCTGTGGAGAGCTACACGCAAACATGGGGAGAAAAGGTTTCCTCTGAAACTACAAACTGTCCTGGACTATGTGTTCCTTCCCTAGAAAGAAGGGGAGGGGAGGGAAGGAGGGGAGGGGGCCCTGGATCAGGCAATGCTTTGCATGCAGTGGGTAGGACACTGGTGGGCAAATGGGGAATGGGTTGCAGAGGAGTCAGGTATGCATGTTGTCAGACCTTGGCGGGGGGGAGGGGTGCCTGGGGATGCAACCTTAGCTGTTTATCCCTGTGTGCCGTACAAATATTAGGTATTTGCCCTCTGGGCCACCGTGTGAAAAAGAAGGCTTCCCTAAGGCAGGCAGGATGGTGATGTTCTCTGCATAGAGTGGTGTCAGGGTGGACGAGAGTTTAGATGGGAAGGACACTGTGTAGGAGGCCCCTCTTCGGATGCAGGGTCGGGGGGGTGGGCACAGCAGATGCCCCAGCCTCCAGAACTAGGGAAGAATGACGATCATGTAAGTGGGAAAACCTGGACATGACATCACCGCTCTCCAACAATGTAGACATTTTCACTTCCCATTCCTCTGGGATTGTCACTGCCAGACAGTAAGGGCCTGGAAAACGTGGTGTGAGATTCTTTTCCCCCAAAATCACTTTTGCAGTGAAGGCCGGTGATGGCGGTATTCATGGGGGGGAGGGGGGAGGCCAGGGCATCAAAGAGTGAGTGTGTGTGCATTTGGGGGTGGGTCTGGGGGAAAACAACAATGGCAAAAACATCCTTGGCTTTGGGGTCTTGGCGGTAGAGCATGGAGGAATGAGCGGGGAGATCAGCTTCTGTTCTTCTCTAAGAGGCCCAGCCGCTCAACTGGGGAAGGAAGAAAACTCTTCATTGTTACCCAGAGTGTGGTCTGTGGACCTGCTGTATCAGCCGGGAGCTGTGGGAACATGCAGGGTCTCAAGCACAGCTCCAGATGCACTGGCTCAGAATCTGCCCTGGAACAAGATTCCCATTCAAGTTCTAGAGGCACTGCTCTTTTAAGAAAGCCCCTTTTCGCATCCCTTCCTGCAACGCACCCCTCCCCAGGCCTCTGCTACTGTTCTGTGCCATCCTAACTTCTCAGCCCCTGATTTCCCATGCCACTATAGAAACCAGGCTCTGACCTGTCCTTCAGTGGTTCCCACAAGCCCCTCAAGGATCACAGTAGTCAAGCTGGAAGAGCCTGGAGAGCACCAGCCCCATCCCGTGACCACTCTGCACATGAGGAAACGGGCGTGGAAAGTGAAGCGATTTGCTCAAGGTCACAAGGCATGGACTACAACCATAGTCTCTGGGATCCTGGTAGGAGATAAAGGATTTCAGCCTTCAGGGATCATCCACATCCAGCTTCTAATCTCATATATAAGGAAACGGAGGCCTGAGAAGCAGCAATGTGTTGGGTCCAAGGTCTGGGCAGTTCCTGGCAAAGCTGGGATCCTAGCGGTGGTAACATCATCATGAACTAAACCACCTGTGCCCTCTCAATTTTGTTATTCAATGCCCATCTTCACAAGCACTAATCCTTATAACAATAGCATAAAATATGCCTTTTGTGGATGTGATGTACTGACCGTCCAGGATCAGTACGCCCTGCTCTGTGGCTCCCACACCTACAATCCCATCCTGACATTAGAATGCAGGTCCTCTAGTACTAAATCCAGCACTGTTTTTACCACTGTAGCTGCAATGTTGATTTTGCTTATTAAATTCAACAAACATACGCTGGGTATATTTCATGTTTGTGATCAGTCTCCCCCCAAATAGGCCAAAAGTGGGGACTGGTCTTGTATTGCATTCTGTGCCCCATGCCATTTCACAGTGGTGCCTCGCTGTGGAACCTGCTTGGTAAAGACTTGCTGGTCCCTAACTCTAGGAATCTAGCTCCCAAGAACATGGGAACATTATCATACTCCCCATTGCTTTTGGTGTTCTGCTCCTGTAGCTTTACTTGTGGACATAGCCAAACTGTAACGAGAGCCAGGCTATGGAGTCCAGAGTCCTATTCAATGCTATGAGAGACAAGAAGGAGAACGGGTCTTGTCCCCACCCTCCAAGTCTTGCATTCTGAATCAAAGTTGAGAAAATCATTGCACATATACAACGATGAGCCTCGTAGCAGCTGGGCAGAGTACAGGCTCAGCTCATGTGCTTCCTATGCTCTGAGCAGAGAGTGGAGAGATTAGAGAAGATCCCACGGAAATAGTTTTGGGTCAGTTTCCTATGATAAAGGCTTGGGGAAAAGGAAATTTTAAAAAAGCAAGCAGAAATGGACAAGTCAGAAGCAACCTGGGCTGAACCAGTGGGAGCATACCCAGTCTAAAGCAGGGCATGGAATTAGTAGCCCCATTTTAGAGCATACACACACTAACGACTTCATCATTGACATAATAAGTTGTCCCTGGCAACTTATTAATTAACTTATTTTCTCATTCAGCCATTTATAAGATATGTCTTGAGTGCCTTCTATGTGCCAGTCACCATGCTAAGTGGCAGGGATATAGTAGTGAACAAATCACACAGGACCGCCTACCCTCGTGCCATTGATCTTCTAGTGGGGAAAGACACAACCAACTACCAAATAACATCAAACATATAGTATATCTGGTGTGACAAATATTACAGAAACAAATCAAGCAAAACAGGAGTATAGGGATAGGTTGCAGTTTACAATAGGGTGGTCAGGAAAGGTGTAGGTGAGGAGGTGACATTGTAGTGAGGCTGTCAAGGGGAAGTCTGAGGGAAGGGGCTTTTGGGCAGAGGGTGGCTAAAGGAGAAAGAAGGGGGAAGGTGGGGGTGGAGGGGAGGATGTAGGACAAGGCTGTACAAGGATGTGCAGATAAGGATGTAGCATGAGGATGCTGGCTTCTAGCTCATGAGATGCGGAGCCTTAAGAGAGTTTTGAGCAGAGAAGTGATATGATTTGATCTAGATTTTAAAAAGATGAGTTGGCCTATAATCTGTAGGGGTACAATTAGGAGGCCCTTGCAACAAGCCAGGTGAAGGAGGAGGGTCTCTGATGGCTGGTTCCCAATTCACAAGTAGAAGTAAATGACTGTCTTGGGCATGTGGGAGGGAAGCTCAGGCACCTAGCTTAGAGCAAGGACACTGCTTTTGATAATCTCCTCCCACATAAAAAGAAAACGAAGCAAGTTTAATTCAAAAAGGAAAGAAAGGGGCGACTGGGTGGCTCAGTTGGTTGAGCGTCCAACTCTTGATTTCAGCTCAGGTCCTGATCCCAGGGTTGTGGGATCAAGCCCCGCGTTGAGCTCCACGCTCAGCGGGGACTCTGCTTGGGATTTTCTCTCTCCCTCTGCCCCCACCCACCCTGCTCACTCTCTCTCTCTCGTCATTCGCTCTCAAAGAAATATATAAATCTCTAAAAAAAAAAAAAAAAGGAAAGAAACTATAGCTCAAGACGTTGGGTTGGAGAAGAAAGAGAAAATTCACCATTGTCCGTGACGGCCACGAACACAGCACTGGGCCATTGTTTTGTTCTCACCAGCCCATGAAAAATATCCCCAGCTGATCTGGCAGAGTGGCATCCCTAAAACCCTCCCCATGGCCATGACCTTGGCATCTTCTGCCAAGACCTAGTCACAGGAGGTGGAGGAGGGAAGGATATTCAGTACTCATGTGTGTTTGCAGTAAGTGCCTTTGGCTTACGGTAATTCTATAAGCAAATCCCACTTCTTTATAAACACCACCATGACCCTTTATCTCCCATGCCAAACCTTATTCTAGGGCAGTGCCAAGCCCTTCTCTTTACAAGACTGAGGCGTTTCTTTAAAATGAAAAAAATGAGGAAAAGTTAGCACAAAATAACGATTTTTAAAAATCTAATAGATAGGAGACTATGTAATTTATTGTCCAACCTATAATACTTTTGAAAGTAAGATGGAGTGCTATTAATCCTTACCTCAGTCAACCTAAGAGCACCTGACTGAAAAGGGGTGATCTTTTTTTTTAAGATTTTTTTTTAAGATTTTATTTATTTATTTGACA